TTTCTTGTGCACTCTTTGGGATTTTTATATAAAAGATCTTTGTTGTTGTTATGTGCCATCAAGTCGGACCCGATCCATATGGCACATAAAATCAACAACAAAGATTTTTTATATTATCATCCATAAATAGTAATAATTTTATTTCTTCTTTTACAATCTAGATTCTTTTTATTTCTTTCTCATGTCTTATTGCCCTGGCTAGGACTTCTAATACAATATTGAATAGTAGTGGTGAGAGCAGGCACCCTTGTCTTGGTCCCGATTTCAAGGGAAAAGCTCTCAGTCTTTCTCCATTAAGTATAATGTTGGCTGTTGGCTTTTCATATTTGCCCTGAACTGTATTGAGGAATTTCCCTTCTATTACAACCTTCTTTAGGGTTTTCATCAAGAAAGGGTGTTAGATTTTATCAAATGCTTTATCTGCATCCACAGGGATGATCATGTGGTTCTTTCCCTTTGTCCTATTGATGTGGTCTTTTATGTTGATTGATATTCTATAATATTAAACATTACCTTCATTCCTGGCATAAATCCCACTTGATCATGAAGTGTCTTGATTTTTAAATGCTGCTTCAATTTTTTTTTTTTTTTTGACGGGGGTGGGAAGTAGTGACTGGGGGTAGGGACTATAGCCCTCTTGACCATTTCCTTTTCCCCCTGTTCAGCACATATGTCTACCAACCCCATATGTCTACCAACCCTGCTGCCAATGAGTTGATGCTGACTCATGGTGACCCTTTTTAAGACAGAGTAGAATTGCCTCATAGGGTTTCCAAGGCTATAACTCTTCACAGAAACAAACTGCCTCATCTTTCTCCCGTGGAGCAGCTGGTGGATTTGAACAGCTGGCCTTTTGGCAAGTAGCCTGATGCTTTATCCACTACACCACCAGGGCTCCTTAAAACATAGTCTATATGCTATATCTATCCATTCTGGATCATTTCTGCCTTTCTTATCCCTGCTAACCTGGAATTTTCTTCAGTCATACATCTAAATTTTACATAATTCTCACACCTCACTTTTCACCCACCCTACCTTTCCTAATACTCTGACCTGGTACATGTACTCAATAGTTATTTTATTCAGAGAGTAGTTTAACTCTAAAAGCAAGTACATGTTATAAATCTCATTTGGTGCTGTCATATGTTGTCTTTCCTCCTTATTCAGACTGTACACTCTTGAGGAAGATAGCATCCTCTTCCTCTGGGTTATCTCGGATAGCTTAGCACAGGTCTAGGCGCTAAATAGGTCAGCGGCACTTGCTGACAATTTCAAGTTAAGTGGACTTTGGTCCTGGCTTACCAACTATCACTTGATCTTCAGAAGAGATGGGACTTCCAGAGGTCTAGCTGAGGAATTGTCAAAGATTTCAACCCAACAGCCTTGCCTTGGCATTGGTAGAATGGTGGCATCTCTAATTTTGATACTTGATTTAGCATTAAGTCCATGCAAACAAGAGGGCCATGATCTTCTTGGAGAATTGGGAAAGACTGATGAATAATATAGAAAAATCTATTATCTTTGGTATCAGGTACAATTTGTTATGATGGTCATAGTGATTCTCAGTCATTACAAAAAAAAAAAAAAAAAGAATGAAATAAAAAGGAGAAAAGACAGTTTTCTTGTGACTGGTTCCCCATTTTATGTCTAATTTATAATCAAGCAGATGGTAGCCCCTGCCTCCTGCCTTTGTTTTTTGTTTTAATCTGCATTAGTAAGTGTTTCCACTGAAAGATCTCTGCACACTTCAAACTGGGCAATGAAGGAAGCAATGAAAGGGTGCAGAACAGAGTTTGAGAGCCAAGTGGTCTCCGTTGGCTGTGACTGAGCCCACTCACCATAGCATAGTGTGCTAACCAACTTCTCAGAATTAATTTACTCATGGAGAGTTCTGTGGCTTCTGCTTGTCAGGACTGCTATCTTTTTGTCCGTGGTGCAACCAGGCAAATCACAGGCATAAAAGTCTGAGGAGGCATGAACCCAGGAGCAACACCTCATTGCCTTGGGGTTGAGAAATGATCTGCAAACCTGGTTCAGAGCTTATGGGGACTTTGGCATGGCTGTGACTGGGCTGTGACAATGGCACTGCTTTCACATCAAAAACAGCCTTCCTTAACCACAACCTGTGCCCTCACAGGTATCCATCAAAGACTTACTCAGCTTGGAGGGACAGCAGTCTTGCAGACACACCCACACTCCTACTTCTAATCCTCCTTCAAAGGCAAACAAATGGAACTATTCCTGGCATCACCCTTCATTCCCCATGAAAGCCCTCTAAATTTGTGCCAGGCAGTGAAAGCAGCGAACAATCCCCTTGAACAGTGTGAAGCAAGCAGAGCACTCTCAGTATTCAATGAAAAACAAATCACATCTAGACACCAACAAAACAAAAAAAAATCTCAAGCCCCCTCCTTCAGGACCTATGTTAAAAGACACATCTCTGTTTTTCACTTAGCTGCCTAAGCACCTCTTTGTCCATACTATACTCCATGATGACTCAGGGGGCTTACAGCTACCAGCTACTGCAAACAAAGATTAAAGACCACTAGTTGGTACCAGCTGGCTAAAATCAGGGGCTGTTAAACAATCTGGGCTAGAAATTCAGCCTTGCTCATGCTGATTAACAAATAACTTCAGCCACTGCCAGGTACAGAGGTTTAAAGAAAGTAGACAGAAAAAGAAAATAGGCTCTCCTTACAGTCAAGAAAGCAAATATAGGAGGATCTGAGAAAGCCACACAGCATGGCAGGGAGGCTCCCTAGGCAAGTCCAGCCATGAGAGCCAGAAGAGAGTCATTGCCCAAAAGCTGGACAAGATAAATTATATTCAGTTCCTTGAGGCACTGGTCCACTTCTTGGTAAACAAACATATTATTTACCAAATAATGGAAAAAATAATTAAACTCCCTGAAAATCAAGGGAGGATTTAAAGTTGCTTACCACCAAAAACAAGATTGATTTTCTCAGTCTAAGATTTCATCTTACATTGTAGTTGCATTTTAATTGTAAGTACCTCTTATAATAGTAGTCATTTTTCCTCCCAAGCACCTAATATCCCTTACTCACTCACTCTCCTTTAGTGGTGCAAATGGTTAAATGCTCAGTTACGCGCTGCAAGGTTGGTGGTTTCAACCCACGCTGAGGCATTTTGGAAGATAGGCCTGGTGATCGGCTTCCAAAAAGTCACAGCCTGAAAATCTGATGGAGATCCACTCTGCACACATGGGGTCACCAAGAGTCAGAACTGACTTGATGGCAACTAGTAACAACAACAAAAGTCTCTCCTAAGGCAAAAATCATTGGATTCATTTTGCAAATATGTAAATACCTTAAAGAGACAGATTGGCAGGATGCTATTGTGCAACCAGAGCTTGGAGGGGGTCAGGAAAAGGTTGTGGTATGCTGATGTCTCACTTTCACCCTGGTGTCTATTGCCTTGAAGGCAATCTGTGGCTGATCTTCAAATTATTTTTTGTTAGAGAAAGGCAAAGTCCACTCTGTTTCTCCTGAGTCTTACACAACTGTAGTCTGAGGGCCCAGCTGTTCTGGTCATGGCCTCACATTCTTCCTGTAAAGGCTCTAGCTGACAAAATTTATGGGGTGGTCTGAAGATGCATGCTAAGCAATGTGGGATGAACCACATGGGAGAACTTTCTGGTTCTTACAGAGCGGATCTAGTCTCTGAGAGGGATTGGACAGGCAGCTTGAACTGGTTGTCTTGGCTATGGGTGATCAACATTCAAGAATGAAACAAGGGCTCGTCTCTTTTACAGTCTCCTGTATGAGATCACAACCATGCTAAGGTTTGAGGATGTGAAGACACAAAGGGCTACTGGGGACTCTTCTTTGTGGCAGTGGACAAAGAGGTAGCATTGACTATCCCCAACACAGTCAGGAAGAAGGGAACCTGAAACAACATGAATAAGGGAAACAGACTTGGCTATGGATCTACTGAGCTCCTACCAGTCTGTGGATGCTTGTAAGCCTAAAAGAAATTGCTTTGCATGCCGAGCAGCCAGCACAGGCAATAGCCATTACCAAAGCCATCTCAGCAAGATGGTAAATCAAAAAGCATCCAGGCTAAGAAGCAGTGTATTGAGAATAATGATTTCCTTTAAAAGTGAGATGATGATGTTCAACAAACCTGTAACAAGCTCCAAATTTAAGGAAAAGGTTTATATCATGTTTACTGGACAACAGCTCAAATTCAGATAGGGCCAGAGAACAAATTCTGGGTAGAATGGCTGACCAAGGCCCCAGTGTAGCAGCAACTGGACAGGATACTTACAGTGAGTTGGGCCGGGTGGGTTTGATCACATCCAGATCTGGGTCACTGGAGTTCATGTTTGGCTGTAGGCTGGTGCTGGAATTAAGGATGCTGTTTGCATTTGATGAGACCACAGATTCCAGACTAGAGTTGATGATGCTGTTCCTTTGTTCCTCTGGATTAAAAAAAAAAAAAAAAAAATTACAAGACTCATACTAATAATTGTTCCATATAGATAGTCTGTTTATACATACAATTTTTTTTTTTTTTTTTACCAGTAATGAGTTCAGATTGAGATCTCTGGTCCCAATAAAGCTAAGAAAACGACATAGGAAAGGATAAGAATTAAAAGTGGGAAAGAAGAGTCAAAGGAGAATAGGTAACTCTTGAAACTTTAGAGCAAAACCTCTTCATCATTTGCACAGGGCAGACATTTTCCCTAAGGACACTGCACCATCAGTCATATCTTCTTTTGGCTAACAAATGGTCTCTCAGCTTCTGCTGTGGTTCCCATACATTCAACCAGATTCCTTTGGTTTCTGGTTTCTTTTATTCTAAAATTCCTGTCTCAAATATTTTTCCTAATTTCCCAGGCCATGTCCTACCTCCAATTCTATAGCACTTCACCATGGATACCTGCTACTTGGCCATCAATTTCCTAATGATGAAGTCAGCACAAATTCCTGACCCCTCCTAGAAACACTGTTCTGTGCTACCTCTGTTGTTGTTGTTGTTGTTATGTGCTGTCGAGTCAGCCCCGACTCATAGCGACCCCTCCTTGGATCTCCGAGGTGGTATCACTACAGAAGTAGATTGCCCAACCTTCCTTCCGAGGAGTGGCTGGTGGGTTTGAACCACCACACTTCTGGTTAGCAGTCAAGTGCCTTAGGCACTACGCTACCAGAGCTCCTGTGTTACCTCTAGCTCCACACATTTAATGCATAATTTGTATTAGTTCTTTGACAAATAGATCTGTAATGTTAGATCTGTAGTAAGTCTCAGAGTAGTCTGCACATAAAAAACTGGGGCCATGGTCCAAACAGTCGTATTAATGCGGGGTGAATATTACTAAGTAGGGAGAAAAGGCATAGTGCCTAAGGCACTTGACTGCTAACCAGAAGGTTGGTGGTTCAAACCCACCAACCACTCCTCAGAAAGAAGACTGGGCAATCTACTTCTGCAGAGATACTGCCTCGGAAACCCAAGGAGGAGTTGCTATGAGTCAAAGATGACTTGATGGCTCATAACAACAACAGGGAAAACCTGAGCTCCCTTCAAGACTCCACCACTACCTGCTGTATGGCCTCAGGCAATACTGATGAGATATTGATGAGACTCTTAGTTAACATATCTGCATTACAGAGAGAATGGTAACTGCCTTGCATAGCTTATAGAGCTATAAAGAGGACTAAGTGGGATCATATGCAAGAAAGTGTTTTGTAAACTCTGAAACTTCACTAAAAGAAAATATGTTTCTGCTTCCCCAACCCCCCTTCTTTGAAAACTTGGAACCATGCGTTGAAAAAATATATTTTTAGGGATGATTTAGCAAAATGGGACAGGCATCCGTTGCTGGAGCAAATTAATATAGAGTTGGAATGTTATTCTTACCCCACACTCATTAGAGATAAACCATATTGAAATTGACACTTTTGGCAATCAACATTCTTTTTTCTTTTTTTTAAATTGTGATTTGGGTGAAGATTTACAGAGTAAATTCACTTTCCATACAGCAGTTCACATATACTTTGTCTCATGACATTGACCACAGTTTACCATAATGCAACAGCTCCCCTCCCACTTCCTCCCCATAGTTACCTCTTCCCAGTGTCCATCCCTCCATACTCTCCTGCCCCCTGAGCTGTCTCCCTGTGCATA